ATATATATATATATATATCTTAGTATTATACTTTCACTCATGTGCATGTTATGAAAATCAACAACAACAACAACAAAAAATTAAAAGAAATCAACGCCAGATGTGATAGAGATTTTACTTAGTTTCCAATTGGTTTATGATTTCAACTATGATCTATGTATACATATATGTGTATGTATGTACATATGTGTATGCATATTGAAGCTGTTGGCTATTCTTTCGATAAAGGTGAAAGTAATACTTTCCACGAGTCCACCACACTCGTCTTCCTTAGAATCTATGTTTTTTATTTTTTTTTTTTTCAAATCTTACTTGAAAGTGTTCATTTATCTTTCTACCGGAACTCTTGTTACTTTTTATTATTATTATTATTATTATTATTATTATTATTATTAGTGGTATTGTATAATATTATAATTTCTTATTGGTAACAGGGAACGTACGCATAGTAAATAATAAAAAAAAAATATAAAAATATAAACAAACTCTTACATATATATTAACGTAAAGAAAATATTTTATTGAAATATTCAATATACACAAAAAATTCAATTATTAACTAAATCATTCTCGTATTATCTTGATTTTCATTAAATTATTATTATTTATATAATAAATTGATTTTTATTTTGTTGTTACATAAAGCAAGCATACTTCTTATTAAGTATTTTGTCTTTATAATTCATCTCTACATTTTCCAAATAATATCATTGATTTTTATTAATATCATTTATTCTTTGGAACACACGTATTTTTGAATTAACATTGAATCGAGTTAATTCAATGATATTACGTTTGAACGTTAAACAGAAATATGTTTAAATATAATAATAATGAAAATGAATTAATATGATTATTCAGCCATGATGAGAGGAATAATCGTAACCACCATAACCACCATAACCACCGCCGTAACCACCTGAATGGCCGTCGTAACCTCCCGAACCACCTTCATATCCTCCTCCTCCACCAGATTCATCTTTAATATGAACGGGTACCGGAACTGGTACCTTTACGGGATAAGGTACTTCCTTTTCAACAGGATAAGGTACCTCCTTTTCAACGACGTATGGTTTGTCAACTGGAACTTTGACTGGGTATGGTACGGGTTTTTCAACAGGTACAGGTACTGGTTTATTAACGTGATAAGGTTGAGGTACTGGTACTTTGACTGGGACAGGATAAGGTTTTTCAACGGTGACTGGATATGGTTTGTCAACAGGTACTTTAACTTCATAAGGTACAGGCTTTTCAACAGGTACGGGATAAGGTTTTTCAACGTGTACAGGGTAAGGTTTAGGTACTGGGACCGGGTAAGGTTTATCAACAGGTACTTTGACTTCGTATGGGACTGGTTTTTCAACCGGATAGGGTTGTGGTACTGGTATTTTAACCTTAACTGGGAAAGGTACGTGTTTCTCAACGGTGTAGGGTTGTGGTACTGGTATCTTGACAGGTACTGGGATATGTTTTTCAACGGTATAAGGTTGTGGTACGTAAACCTTCACCTCGTAGGGCTTATCCACTGGTACCTTAACTTCGTATGGAACCTTTTTCTCAACGGTATAAGGTTGTGGTACGTGAACCGGTACCTTGACAAAGACTTTCACTGGATAAGGGACATGTTTCTCAACGGTATAGGGCTGTGGTACACCGACCTTGACCTCGTAAGGCACGTGTTTCTCAACCAAATATGGTACATGTTTAGTTACTTCGTACGGTACCGGTACTTTCTTCACAACCGTTACTGTTTTCACGTGTTCATGGTGATCATAAGATCCACCACCACCACCACCTACATCCCCGCCGCCGCCGCCGCCGCCACCACCACCACCAAGGTCACCATAGCTATGCACCAGACCACGTTTTTCTGTCTTCTTTTCGGCACCCGTTAGATCTTCCGATGATTCCGATTCTTTAGATTCCTCCGACACTTTTTTTTCCTCGATACATTTAGCCGAGACGACTAAAGTCGTTAGGATAATGGCTGTTAACTGATAAAAAATGAAAGATCTAATTAATATACAAAGAATTTCATTGTTTGTGTGTGATTAACGTTACTTATAAATTCTTTGATGATCTTTTTCTCTTAATTATTTCGATAAAATTTCATAAAACGCATATATGCGTCTTTAGTCCACGTAGATTGCTTCCGTTAACTTAAAAGGTTAATCATTTTTTCAATAAAATTTTGCACTATTTTTATAATAGTCGCTGAACAAAATAAACAAATAAATTCTAACGCAATTCTGATGCAACCTTGACAACCCTTTTACTCAAAGTAAGTATGCATAAAATTGTATGTTAAATCGAATACGCGTATATGCATCTTAAATCCACGCGGGTTGCTTTTCGCTGGGCGCTTATATGCGTCCTTAATTTACACTTTCTTTTTTGTTGGGCGCATATATGCGTCCATATATAAATTCGAATAATACTTAATAATTTTTTGTTATCAATAAAATTGCACGTTATTCCTTAATGGTAGTTGTACAAAATAAACAATTAATATTAACAAATTCTTATGCAATTATGACAAATTTTGTGGTAAAAATAAAATGTCTAAAAAATCGTATGTTAAATTGAATATAATTGATTGTATATAATCCTTCCTTACCTTCAAATTCATTCTTGATTTTGCACGTCTTTTAACGTGGACCACCACCGACTGAACCGCTTCGTTTTCTAAACTCTGCCTTATATAGCACTGTCTATGCGCCTCGGTACAATGGCTTAAAACTTTCCCTGTTCACAAACCTCTCTTAGATCGTTCAATCGCGTTACGTTCCCCTGGTGTCTTATTTTATATGTAAGTTACTTGCAAAAAGCGCTTACTTTTGCTACGCACCGGTTAAACCGGAAGAATCCGTACGCATCGTATAATATATAACGTTCTTCCTTAATTATTTCATTAAAAATATAGAAATTTTTGTCCAAATTTTTATTCTTAAGTAATATTTGATTATTATAAAAATAATACATCCTTATTTTTTTAATATATATATATATATATATATGTATCATTCATTTTTCTTTCGTTTTTAAAATTAATTATTATTATTTCGTTTTGATGAAATTTTTATAATCTTTTTTAAGTAATTTTTGTATATATATATTTATACAAATGATAAATGAGTATATATATAAATATTATATATAGAATGGGATTACTGTATATAATTATCTGTATATATTAATTAAATAAATAAAAAATAACCTATACTGTATATAACTAATATCATTATCTGTGATACACGTACACCCATTGTCAATGTAAAATAATTAATATTTTCTTTTAATACAATATTTAACAATTTTTATATCCATACAAATATTTTAAGGTTATTCAACTTTAATATTGATATCAATTTCATATTGCAAAATAACATTTAATTATAAGAAAAATTAAATTTGATAATTAATATAAAAAATGAACATTTTATTTAACTCATCAAATTATAATTAAAAAAAAAAAACATAAAAATAAATAAATGTCAATTAATTTAAATTAATAGTAAGTAATGCTACAAATATTTCTGTGATTCACTCTGTAGATATAGAAGTATATACAAGGTGTCTGAAATTATTTTGTATAAACATTGCAAGATTATTCAAATATTTATTCCAACAAACTTATAAAATAAATAATAAAACTGTTGAATTTAATTTATTTTGTTTTTTTTTGCGCAAAAAGAAAAATAAAGCTTTTTATTTCTTCTCATCAATAAAAATCTGATAATGTTGAGGTTATGGTTCAAAAATGAAATGATTGAATTACTTAAACAAACGATCATAATCAAAATCTTTAAAAATCATCTTTGAATAATCATTTAAATAATTTAATGTTATAAATTATGAATAAAATATTAAATAATTCACAAATTTACATAACATTATGTTCTTAATCTTAAATCTTTCTCTCCCCACTCCTATTATAACCTCAAAACATTTTTATGAAGAAGAAGAAAAATTTCTCTGACACGATTTATTAAACAAAATCATAAAAGTATTCAATCCCTTTTGTTTTAAGAACTATAATTGACCTACTCTTTCAGATCGATATATTGTACAAAAAAAAAAAAAAGGAAAAAAAAAAAGGAAGAAATATTTGTTTGAAATTTATCTACAAACTCGATCGATCGTCACACGACGAATTAATAATCGGTTTTGATAATATCGCGTGATGAGAAAGAAAATAGGATTTCAAAAGGAATAAAGTGAAAGAGAAAATAAAACATGGCTGGGAAAGGGTCGGAGGGGGAAAATAAAACTATACATATTTATAGATAAATGAAAAAAAAAAAAGAAAAAAAGAAAAAAGAAGAAAAAGAAAAAAAGAAAGGAAGAAATGTAATACGGATAGAATGGAAATAGAAAAAGAAACGGAAAAGTACGGCCATAATTGCTACAGAAAATGCAGAAAAATCCGAGTGAACACGTAGGTACTTGTTCGCATGTTGAATACTTAATGTCGTATGTTAATACGTTCGCATGAGCGGAACCCATTTTGATCTTTGCCAAAGATAATTCGTAATTTTCGAGCTATTAATCGGTGCTCGAGCATCCGAATATGCAACCAAAATTTTCGATTAAATTTGAGCCCTTTTTAAAAGAAATCAAATCAAATCAAATCAAAATTTTGTTTTTTGTTTTTTTCTCTCGTTACGCTCAATTAAACCTTTTTTAATTTATTTATCTTTATTCAAATAGAATCGATAAGTAATGAGATGATTTTCTTCTTTTTGTCTTACAATCTGTTCAAATAAAATTGGTAATTTTTAATAAAATTTAAAAAATAAAAATTTTGCAAAAATAAACAATAAAATATACGCAATATTTTCATAAATAAATAAATAAATAAATAATAATAATAATAATAAAATAATTCTTTTTTTCGTCTTATAATCTGTTTAAATAAAATTGGTAATTTTTAATAAAATATAAAAAATATAAATAACGCAAAAATAAAAAATAAAATGCATGCAATATTCCCATAAATAAATAATAATAAATATAAATAATAATAATAATAAAAAAAATTAATAATAATAGTAATAATTAATAATAATAATAAAAAAAAAAACCATCCATTCCCAACCATAAATATTACAAATTTATTGTTAATTATTTTTTTTTTAATTTCTTTTTTTTAATGTAATTTAATTTTGTATTTTTTTTTTTCATGTAAATTTATTAATAAATTTTACCATTGTTTATTTTTTTTTCTGCGAATAATTTAATTCGTCAAATTGAAAACAATACGCCATTATACAGGAAAATTGTTCGATAAAAAAAAGATGTATGCAATTTTTTTTTTTTTTCTTACTACAATTATAACGTTCACGGTGCATTTAGTAGTTGCGCTCTTGCGATTACAAAAAAAAAAAAAAAGAAAAAAGAAAAAAGAAAAAAGAAACACACGAACCGGGCAAAATGCATTTCTCTCGCTCGCGTATTTTTACGATAAGCAGCATAATCTGATAATGATCATCATCATCATCATCATCAACACGTTTGAAAGGATGTGTTACACGTATGGTTAGAATCTCGAGAGGAAAGCGAGCACATCGTTGAAATTGTTTTTTTTTTTTTTTTATTCCATTTTTCATTTTTCANTTTTTTATTGTTTTTTTTTTTTTTTTTTTAGTTATTCATTAAATGTAAAAAATTCTTCCCACGTAACGATGAAAAAAAAAAAAAAAAAAAACAATAAAAAATATACAACAACCCCTTTCCTCATTTCTATCGAAAAATATAACAAATTTATTATTATTAATTTTTTTTAACTATTGGGTTGGTAAGAATGTAATTTCGGTTTTTTAGGGTGAAATATTAATTTCTTATCAACCCAATCATATTATATATATATAAAAATTATTTATTATAATATTATATTATTTTATTGTAAAATAAATAATAAAAATAATTTTTAATTTTTAATTATTTTTTTTTAAGAATAATCTTTTTTTTTACTTTTTTTAAATAATTTTATTTATATATATATATATATATATATATATTATTATTTACTAACGAAATTATTTTCTTGCCAACGCAATAGTAGAATTATTTATTTAAAAGATTATTATTTAAGATATTATTGACAAAAAAAAACATAAAAAAAAATAATAATTTACAAATCTAATTATACAAGATTTTTAAATAATATCATTAAATACGTAATAATATTATCATCGTATGAATAAAAGTGAAAGGTTTATTTGAAAATAAACTTTCGGCAGAAATTTTGTTAGCCTAACCGAATCGAATGAGCATCAGTACACACCTATGAGTTAAAATTAATGATATACCAGTATGAATTCATTTCATGAATTTTTTTTTTTTTTTTGCAAGGAAAAGTAATAGCATGAGTTATACCAGGTAATTCGATATACTCTCTCTTTACCTTATTAATCATGCCTACGTTAAAATCATTTATTTTTATAGTTCCGGAATTTCAATAAGGAAGTTAAGAATATTTGTATATCAATGAGATAACAACAATTGAGTTGTTAAAATCGTTTTAGATATTTTTTTTTTCTTCTTCTTTTTCTTCTCTGGAATTAAGATGAAATAATAATTATCTGTTTAACCGTTAAGTATAGATCAATTTTTATATATTTTCTACTGTAAAATTAAATTAATAGATGTAATGAATAAAATCGTTGTTTCTTTTTTATTCAAATTAACACATGGATTGTTATTGTACTGTATAATTAAATGAACAAAAATATATTTCTTAGTAATGAATATAATTATTGTTTTTCAAATGAACATATAGATTGTTGTTGTACTGTATAATTAAATGAACAAAAATATATTTCTTAGTAATGAATATAATCATTGTTTTTCAAATGAACATATAGATTATGATTGTACTGTATAATTAAATGAATAAAAATATATTTGTGTGGAATAAATAAAATCATTGTTTTTCAAATGAACATGTAGATTGTGATTGCACTGTATAATTAAATAAACAAAAATATATTTCTTAGAAATGAATATAATTATTGTTTTTCAAATGAACATATAGATTATGATTGTACTGTATAATTAAATGAATAAAAATATATTTGTGTGGAATAAATAAAATCATTGTTTTTCAAATGGACATATAGATATTTATTATACTGTATAATTAAGTGAACAATAAAAATATATATATATATATATATACATATATATAATTATGCAATGATTCAAATTGTTGTTCTCATAATTAATATATAGATTGTGGTAGTACTGTAAAATTGAATGAGCAGAAGTATATTTCTGTATAATGTATGAAATCATTGTTTGTCAAATAAACATATAGAATGAGTTAGTACTGTAAAATTGAATGAACAGAAATATATTTGTATATAATAATAAATAAAATCATTGTCTTTCAAATGAGCATATAGATTGTGGTAGTACTGTAAAATTGTATTAGCACAGAAGTATATTTCTGTATAATGAATAAAGTCTTTGTTTTCCAAATGAACATATATGTTGCTAGTACTGTACAATTAAATGAACAGAAATATATTTCTGTATAATGTATAAAATCATTGTTATTTAAATGAACATATAAATTGTGTTAATACTGTAACATTAAATTAACAGAAACATATTTCTATATAATGA